TACGTATCTTCTGTCTGCTTTACTTGCACACCCATTCAGAAATTCAGAAATCATAGACTAACTGCCATTATTTTTTACTCAAATTTTGTATTTTTGATTCATTGCCATTAAAAATGCAACCAGAGGTAAAAAGAAACTATATTATTTAAATATACATATGGTACACTCTACTTACAAGGTTACATATGGTACACACTACCTACAACAAAATGTATTCCAATGACCAATTTTTTACTTTCTTGTACGAAGTAAAGGAAGTATTGTATTCGCGAAAATTTTCGGGTATCATATTTCAACGAAAATATCCATTTTGACCGCTATGGAATGCAATTTAAGGATGTTTTTGCGTGACATCGGTACGAATGAACAGAATAAAGGATTTTTTTCCCCAAAATGGGTTGCAAAAAGGAATTAAACTGGATTTCGAGGAGATTGTTTCCGTGACATCTGTACGTACGTGCGTATCTCGCATAACTCAAAAACGAGTAGTCACAGAACGTTGAACTTTTGTATATAGGACTGTTAGTATGTACATGGAGTTGTGTACTTCCTGTTTTGGTTGCAATCGGTGACACCAAAAGTATATATAAATACACATATATATTTATATGGTAGGTATATATACCCACTCTGTTACTCGGTTCCATGAACTCGGTTTATTCTTATATGTTCGTAAATTATGCATTTTTTGCTTTAAAATGATTGAATTATGTTGTTCTTATCTTCTGGTTAAGGTTTTTTATGTCTTTAGTTAACTGCATGCAATAGTTTTAGAATTATTAACAATTTAAAAATTGTGTAAGTGCGGCTAAGCCTAATATTTTACTACTAATATTTTATTTTTTTACATTTTAAACTTAGCAGATTAGAGAATTAAGTCAGTTTCCAGTTTCTGCAGCTTCAGTGTCTTTCTGCTGATTGAGACCAAAAGTAAACTTTCAGTTTTGTGAACCGAAAAATCTGAATTGCTTGTTTTTGCGTAGAAACTCTAATTTTAGTTGTAAAAAAAAATTTAATTGTTTTAAGTGTATTTGGTGTTTTATATTTTTTATATTTTTAAATTCTTAATAAATTAATTTTGATTTTTGCCTTTCCGTGAAGTAAGAACTGAATTAATTGAATGAGAAATACATCTCTAATGAAATTCGAGGAAATAAGTTTAACAAAAAGTGCGTGTAATTTAATATTCCGGTAGAAGGAAGTCATGTGATGTACACATTAGATTTTGTGTTAGAAAAAAAAACCGTATTCAAGGCTAATTGCACAGTAAAAAAGCAATTATGTAAAAGGCACGACACGACTTTGTTACCTTTATTATTACGTTTGCTGCTTAAGGCTAAAACTCGTTTCTTTTATTTGAACTCTGAATAGCCCTGCAAAGTAGGAATTAGCATAAGTTTTAGCTAAGGCAGAGATATTATTTTGCAGATAAAAAATCTTAACAATAAGGAAGTTTTGCCATTTCATTTATACTTCCTGAATTTTGACAAGAACACAAAAAAATATCATCATTTAACTGACTCGAATTGTTAGTTATTTTAAATTACTTTCTGTATATAACTTTTTAACCTAGGTTATTTTTAATACTTATTTTTTATTTTCTCTGTTTCTTATTATTTTTATGAGCAATGTTACAGAGTTAAATACTGCAGAATAGACCAAGATGAATTCCTTTATGGTTTTATTAAAAAAAAAACTTGCTCATTTACACTGTAACCAAAGTTATAGGACAAAATATTTCAAAGCTTTTTCTATTTAAAGAGCCAGGTACTTTTTTGACACCGGCATTTCAGCATATTTCTCGTATATATTGTATTGCTCTTTTGCGTGCACATTTAACTTCAGTAGCAAAATAACAGAATATTTAAAAACAACATATCTTTAAAATTCCCAATAGAGTGTAAAGTGTTGCCATACATTTTTTCGCAATATTATTTCTTTGAAAATAGTGCACGGCGATAATATTTGGTGACAACATTTTTTATATTTAAAACCACCAATTTTTGTGTTTTATTGGCTGTATTAATAAAATCTGAAATTAATAAAATCTGTAAATAAAAATCTGAAAGCTTTCAGATTTTAATAGTTTCGCAAAAGAGTTTGTTAAGATTAACACTCTCGCTGAGCTGACAGCCTGCTGTTGCTCTCACGCCTGCTAACCTTTATCCTTTTCTCATCTTTTTAGCTTTATTAATCATTTAAACCCTATAAAATTCAACAGCAGCCATATGAAATTCAACAGCAAAATCACAATAATTTTAAAAGTAGCATATGTTTAGAATCCCTGATGCAGTATTAAGTATTGTAAAACAGTTTTCTAAATTTTTTCAGTCTTTTCTCTTTATAATATCAATGTTCCCTTTTCCTGATAAGGTGGCTTACAAAACTATTTTCTGTCTTTTTATTACTAATGTTTTGTGAGATACATCTTGTTCTTCGCAGTTACGCCATATAAAATTCAATTCAGTCGCAAAATCACAAAGTATTAAAATATTTTAAAAACAGCATATGCTAAGAATTTCCGAAAGACAATCTCGTGCGCTGTAAACAAAATTGTTTTATTCCGTGCAGTGTTGCCATGCAGTGTTGCCACTGCTTGCTTTCAAATCGTTGAGTTGAAAAAGTATTTCTGGACGCTTTAGCAATATTTTCACGAAAGAAATTTTAATGAAAACAAAAGTTTCTAAAACGATTTGGTTTTATATCTTCGTTTAAATAATTTTTTAAAAGTTTTAAAATTTTTATAAAAATAAATCTGTATAAATATAAAGACTGCAAATGTCTTTCACCCAAAATGCAACATTCTTGCATGTTTTCATGGTGCACAATATCAATCATTCTGCGAGGATCCATTTGAAATCATCTATGCCTTAAATAAAAAATTTGATATTTCATCAATATTTTCCTCCTCATTTACGTCTCGTTCCACTAATTTAACATCACTCATTCCTCTCTTTATAAACAATGGCTTTCTATTCTATGACACCCGAAACTAAAACTAATCCCGTTGCCTATGTGCTTAATCTCTGACGTCACTCACGGTGGTCCCAGCGGTGAAATCCCGATGACAGCCTATTGCCTCACTTAATGTGCCGCAATAGAATGATGGTCCGGCTATATTTATTCATCGCCTAGATTGGATTAATGGCTTCAAACTCACCTCGCTTGACCTCGTGATTAATTAAGCTTTAATTGGGATTTTCCACTTCGGACGGCCTGATAATGGATTCCATGAGGACAGATCGGGAATTCCGAGAATGCAGGAATCCGACGGCGTTGATGAAGATCTTTCCCTCTTCTTTTCCCAGGATAATACCGGAAATTATCTTCTCCGGGAAGCGATGATGGATAGCACAAGAAGTACCCGTAATGTTTCGTGTTTCTTCCAGGTATTCAGTATTTCCTGAAATAAAGATATCTGAAATCCTAGACGTTTATGTTTCATAAAATAAAAGTTCATTAAAGCCAAACTGTAAAGACTAGTAAAATACGTTATCAAGCAGAGCTGTCTGTTTACTATCTTAAAGTGCAAAGCTGAATTAATGGAAAGTTTTTTGTTTATGTTATAGCAATCAATTTAACAGTATAGTTGGCGCCACTTGATGTGATCACATTTATCTAGTACCAGCGGTTCTCAACCTTTTGACTAATGCGTACCTTCTAAACAAAAACTGAAAACCTGTGGTACCACCACTACAAAGTACTACTACCACCACCACCCTTGCACAAAGCTCAGGTCGAATAATTTTCGATTGTTAGAGAAAAGCCTTAATCAGGATGTTGGGGGTTTAATTTTTGGATTTAATAGTTACAAATCTTTGGTTCTTTTCGTGCCACCGGTTGAAAACCCCTGGTACAGGACTATTTTAATAACATTAACCGAATGATGACATTAAATGATGAGAAAAGTAGACTTTTTGAAGGCTTTTTGTCAGTTGTTATAAGTTAGAATAATCCTGAAAATAAAGACATGATTAAGCCAATCCAATGGACAGGATTATAAGGCGACTTAGACTTAATTGACCAAGCTAGAGAAAGTCACGGTTGTATTTATACCCATAGACGTAAGGCGAACGAGAAGGAAGCGCCATCTATCGCTATAAATAGTAATGAAAATAAAAAAAATAAATTAATGGAATTTTAAAAGCATTAGGAAGGATTGAATTGGAATTAAAGTCATTAACCAAATAGCATAAATCTTCGTCATTGTGAACACCTTAAAGAAAATCCTAGTTCACCAATGGAAGAAGGTTTCTGTACAATGTTTGCAGATCCAAAGTGTTAAAATAGTGATTAAATTCACAACTATGATTACCTATCGAAAACTTTTAATTTCGTCTTTTCGGACTTAAGATTCGTGTTCTTTGATGCGAAATTTCAACGTTCGTTTAGTTTGGCCGATATGTCTCAAGATCATTGACAAGATATACTATAAATTCCCCAAGAATTGAATTCAGAAATGCAATCTTTGAGAGACTTGATATCCAATAGTTGTTTCTACTGATTAACGTAATGGCAAAGGAACAGTGCCCACGTCCTCCGTCGCTTATCGCTTATTTCGCTTATCCAAAAGTTGTTTTGTTCCCAGTTCTGGCGATATACATTGCTCCTTCTGTGCATCTGTGGTACAGCCTTTTCTAATGAAGGCTTTTACTCCTGCGCTTCGCTACTGCTGGCCAAAGATCCATGACGTACTGATTGCCTAACTTCTACAGCTCAAAGACCCACAGTCGGGAGATAAAGTCCCTGAACACTGGTAGTTCGGTGCGAGGTTTGAATCCCTCGAACGGGCTGGTGGCTTGGGACTTTCATGGTTTTCCCCGTGTGTAACATATTTCCCTTAGAACGTCCTCTACGAATGCATCCCTTCCTTTCAGCAGATAACCCTCGAGGCTTTGCCGTAATCACACAGCATGCTCACTCTATAATGTATATATTTTATCATTTTAACGGCAGGAGTGTGATTAAATGCAGTTTCTATCAGTGAAGCATTTCCTTATTATAAATTTTATGCCTTTTTCAGGTACTACATAGGATCTACGGTGAGAACTTGTGAATGCCCTCCAGGATATGACGGTGCGCGATGCGAAGCGAAGAAAATTTCCCCGCCGACACAAAGTACGTATTGTTTAAAAATAACAAGTTTAATCGCTCTTTGTGATATGCAGTTTCGAGACTTTTTTATGTGCTTTAAAATGACATATTTTACTGGTTTTCTACTCTGTATATATTCCCTCCAAAGTTTTCATACTTTTTTTTTTTTCCCATTTCAAATCCACTTTTTTTCTTGTTATAATCGTCTGTAGTAGGAACTCTTAGCCATCGGGGATTTCATACTTCCAAGGGGGGGATGAGGTCAGCCTTTTATTTACCTGTCAATTATTTAATTTTAGCTTATGAATATAAAAATCTGTATTTGTTATAGTTTTGTTATTTATGAATATTTTCTATAAATCTTTTTAATTTATAAAACACGTTTAAAAATGATATGATTGAAATTTAAATAAACATATATATATATCTTTCGAGTTTGGGACTGATAATCTAGTAATGGTGAAAGGAGGCATGGAGCAAAAAAAAATGGTTTAGAATCCCTGGTCGAATTTTTCAAAATGCCATGTATATTTTTCAGGAATGAATGCCATTTAAATAATAGTTCATCATGATCTTTTCTAATACCTTGCGTAAAGCGTATTTGTCATTCTATTGAATGTCTAGGTATTATTTATAATGTCCGGGTAAAGTATATAATAATTCTCATATTTCTTACCTTGCCTAAAAACGCGAGGCATTCTATAGAATGCCAGCGTTTCATACATTGCCGTTAGCAGGGATGTTTAGTATTTTTGAAGCAGGAGCACATAAAAATGTGCAATGCCCTCGCCGGGACTCGAACCTGGACCTCTCGAATACGCGCCGAGTGTGCTACCGTTACACCACGAAGGCATACAGAAAGGAGGGAGAAAATCCTCTTTTTTAGGGATAAGCGAACCCAATAGCCAAATCCTGGTGGTGAAGTCATCATCCACCACATTTAGTTCGGGCGCCACTATAGGGTGATTAGAATTTTTTAAGCAGGAAACATGACAAACGAGCAATGCCCTCGCCTGGATTCGAACCTGGAACTCTCGAATACGCGCCGAGTGTGCCGCCATTCACCGCGAAGGCATGTAGAAAGAAGGGAGAAAATAGCTTACAATGTTTTTAATTTATATTTGATGATAGATAATGTAAGAATGACTTGCACGCTTTTGAACAAGAAAGCCCTAATATAGCTATAACGATGAAGTTTTAATTTCTTTGTTGTAATTTCTGTACAGCGCAGCAACATTTAATTCATTCTATATTTTATGTTCTTAGCACCTTTAGATCACTACCTACTTTAGAATTCATTTTATCTTGTTCTCATCTTTGACATGAATGATACCAAGACTAGAAATTCTAATCGCTTTGTATTCTTCATTCCCACTATTAATCCTTCTTAAAAGGATTAAATTGTTCAAAGCAAAGTTCTTCATTTTTCAGAATAATTGAAAATAGCAACTGGAAACGAGACGGCGACATAATTAAAAAGAGAAATATCTTCGTGGCTGTCTCTTTGTTAGCTTCGAAGGTGTTGAAAAGTCATTATTAATGAAAGTTGGAACACTTAAAATTCCAGAAGTCATCGTATGTACACTGAATCTCTTTTACAGCAGGGATTTAAACAAAAATGGAAGCCATTTCATGCTCAGGTTGTTGTTTCTCAATCCTTTTAATTGAAAATGGACAGGATGGTTTTCCAGTCCGTACAATGTACACCGAGGTTTTTGGCTAACAGGAATAACACTGAAATTATTTTAACAATGCATTTTATTATGTGTAGAGTTTTATTCTAAACCTACTCCAAACTATGTTTTCCTTTTTGGTTTATTTTAAATTTTTTATTAGCATTTTTCTTTTATACTAACATTCCTCTCACTTTTCTCTTAGCCCAGAAGAGTTATTAGTCTCGAAACACGATTTGCATTGTTTCACTTTTCATTCGAATCTGTTGTCGTCCGAAAAAACACAAGATATTGTTCTTTTATATTTAATCTGTCTGTTGTTGATAAACAGATAAGCTATTTAAAAGCAATAGATTTATTTCTTAAAAGTATTATTTTTCTTTACTTTTAAATCTGTTTCAGTTAAATAAAATTCATTTAATTCATATCTAATTAAAAATATCAAATATTTTTACTGAATTACATTATATATATTTTTCTCTTTTTAAATATGCAGAAGAAAATTAACGTTCCCATGTTAGTGTAAACACATATTCATCTAATTCGCTATTCCACCAGAATATCCCTATCGACAATCTCTACTTTTTACATACTAAACTGCATACATTAATACTGCATATTAAATTTTAATACATCCCTTTCAGGCAATCGTTAAAATCTGAATCCTTTGAGCATTTTTAAGCTTTTCCCCATCTTTTCTTAGTTTATAATATCAATGTTAAATTTTTCCTAATAAGATTAGTTACACAATTATTTTTGACTCTTTCACTTTGTAGAGTTCACATGATTAACTCCTGTGTGTGAACTATAAGAGTAGTAACTGCACAGAAGAAGGCTTAAAAATACCTTTTATTAACTTTTTATAATTTACAATGCGTAAATTCGACCCTAACAAACTACGCCTCTGCTTGGGCGGTAACAAATCAAAGAACTAGCTAAAGATTTGAAGATATGTGTAAGTCGTCGAACTAAACTACAGTGCTCAGAATAATTCCTGTTTCTTAAACCCCCTTCGAAAACTAGTGTCAGCAAGTAAATGCAATTAAGCCACGCGAATCAGCAATAACTCTTGGAGCAGACGCTTAAGCAACAGATGTGACGGCTATAGCCTCACTCTCTCTCCTTCTTACTGAACCTCGGTTTTTAACCTCTTCCTTCAAGGTGGAATTTGCATTCTTTCTCACGCGCTACCAATTTAAAATATTCTGGCTCTGACAACTAAGGAAATGTAGGCTTATAGGAAAAAATAACAAATTAAATAAAATTGGTTATTTAAAATAAGTATAAATCTCTAACCCTTTATTAAAGTTTCTTATACAAGTTGTAGTTAAAATCTCTTATACAAGTTGTTGTTGAGACTAATCTCACCTGTCAGACCTAATTAGAACAAGCCGAGGAATATTATTGTGGCAAGGAAGTACAAGATTTCGTCTGTCGCTGGTAAAAGCCTTAGTCACCTTATAAGTGACAACAAGATTTTGTCTAGTTCCATCGCAGGTTTGAGAAAGAGCACCCCAAAAGTGGCTGCCCGATGGTCCCCGACCCTTCTCTCCCTACCACTAAATCACATAAGAAAGTACTTTCGGCTATATTTTGTGCGCCTAAAATACTGCACAAACACTATGCATTTACAACATCCATGCCTTCTCCGGGATTGGAACCGGACCCTTCGGTACGATAGTCCAGCCACTAACCACTATTCCACTAGGCGACTTTTATACAAAGTATATATAATAATCAGTTCAATAATATACAATAAAGCATTTGATGCTGAGTCAATGAAACCGGCTTCTTTCTTTCATAATGCTCTAAATACACCATTAATTTTCTCTGCATAATTATCGTTGTTTTCCTTTCCATACATAAGTGGATTACGAAATTGTTTGTCTCAATTTTCACGTTGAGCGTTTCTCCGCTAAATTAAATTGACTGCTATAGGCCATCAAATTCGCATTTTGCATTATTTGAAACTTTTCTCCTTTTTGTATTACAGTGTTGCATGCGATGTGTAATCTATTTTCTATGCTATTAAAATCTGGGCGTGTCTGTTTGTTTGTGGCATTGTCTCTTTCGGAACGGCGAGAAGCTGAGTTTCGAAAAATGTACCTTCGGATTCCAAAAATTCGTGGGATGCCATTTCGACCATTGTCATCTTCGTACGAATTTAATTAGCGGAGATATTAATTAAAAACTCTGAAAACGCTAATATTCGCCCTCATTTTCCCGAGTGACAACAGTCTCTCACGCTGAAGATAATCTACTTTATTTCGAGAAGTGTTGCCATTGCTTGCTTTCAAATCGTAGGGTTTGTTAATAAAAAATTTCTGAATTTTACAAAATAGGATATAAAAAGCATTGCTAAGCAATAAATATTAATCCCGATTCCAAAAATTCATGGAAAGCCATTGCGACTATTCCCACCTCCGTACGAATTTAATCAGGCGACGTATTAATTAAAGGTGCTGAAAACACTCATTTTTGCACTGATTTTTCCAAGTAGCAACAGTATCGCATGTTGGAGATAAGAATGCTTTATTTCGATAAGTGCTGCTATTGCTCGCTTTGAAATCGCAGAGTTTGTTGACAAAAAATTACTAAGTTTTACAAACTATGAAATAAAAAAAAAGAAAAACATTTCCGAACATTAAACATATTATTCTTATATAAGGTCATATTCTGACGTTGAGAAGAAAGCACACGATTTCATGTGACGTCGCTGTATGTCGAAAATTGTTCGTTAATGTCAGCATTTTAAAGAAATAGTTGCTGTTGGCAATTTTTTGTTTCAGGTTAGTATAATTGCCACATTAATTCTTTTATTAAATTGAGGAAATGTTGTCATATTATTACATTCAATTTAAATCATGACGTCATACGTATTAACCTGAATTGTCAAAAGTTTTTGTTTCCTGATTCGGCAATTAACTAACTATTTAAGAATTGGTTTGTTGCTTAGAAAGAATGAACTAATTTCTTTCATACTGAAACGTATTCGTACTTTCGTACACCAGATGAACTCATTAGTTAAAAAGAGGCTATAAAGTACATTAGTGACTACAGCTTCAAGAAAAGTGGCTTTCCAAATGGCATTAGTTTAAAATGTTAGTCTTCGAAGAATCCCAGTCGCAATTTACAGCAGTCAGATCGATTGATTGCTGTAGATCTTTTTGTTTTGAGAGGGGTAGGAAGCAATTTACGTCCGACAGAGGATGAACTGAAATGTTTTCCTGATAAAACCATTGATGAGAATTCCGAAGTCAGCTTGATACGAGTTGTGTACGTTTTTTTCGGCTTTATCTCCGGTAATTACAACAGGAACTCTAGCACGCAGAACAAATCTAACATAGACTG